TAGACACAAGAAATCAATCATCTATATGGAATGATTAACGGTTCATTAATGAAATAAAGGCTTTCCATTTGGTTAACAATAAAGTAAAAGAAGGAAAAAAGAAACCAGTAAACAAATTGATATGAATTAAAAAAAAACATGAATGTGATATTTTTTCACAATTAAAAAAATTGAAAAGATTTTGACATTAATCCTGTTGATGACCTAAATATTAACATTTGTGATCAAAAACTGTGGATCCTGGAAAGAAAGTGTTGAACACTATTTGCAAAATATCTCAGACTCAAAATCTGAGATCTATGGAACGACCTGGTATCTCAATAAGCTTCAGCATTTTTGCAAAAAGAATAAACAAAAGCACAGATTGTAGATGTGCAAAGCTTGTAAGGCAAGTTTATTTATATAACACATTTCTGTGGCAAGACAAAAACAGATGGACAGCATAGAGGCAACATAAATAATTAAAGAGAATACAAGTGACACAAAAAGTAAACTGATATAAAAAGTGTTTTTATAAAAGAAAAATTATTAAGAAAATGGAACAACTGCTAGACTAGAAACTAAACTAATAGTGTTCAAATGGTACAGTGAAAGGGCACTCTAAAAAAACAGATATTTTAAAGTAAACATTGATCGCTTTCCTTCCGGCACATAAAATCTTACATTGGTTTAGCTCTGGTTTAAATGTAAGAAAATACCATGGGGAAAGAATACTTTTCCAGTGCTGTAGCCTTTAGTAATAAAAGCTAAAGACAAATTAAATTTAGAAATATAAAAGATTACTCCAGATTATTCCTGCTGCCTTTTCTTTTTATACTCAGTTTTCCGTCATTCTGTCAGACAGCGAATTTTCCCCTTTTGCAAGCCATCATCTGCTATTTCCTTTAAGTGAGTCCAAGCAGACGGGTGGAGCTCCAGGATACACAGATGAACCAGCCGGAAAGTACATAATAATGTGTGTTTAAAGCTGCTTCTCTGGATCAGGTGTGCTCCTCCTCGTCACAAAAAGGTCATCATATCCTGTTGGAAACGAGTCAACAGGGCCAACCTGGAACCATAAAACGTCACATTACAACAGCAAGCTGAACGATGAGAGATAAGATATTTTATTTTTTATTAATTTTTTACATGTATATATGGCAAATAAGAAACATCGAACACGGAGGATTAGGTAATGACCTTCTGATGTTCTTGGTTCTCTTTATCATCCTAATAATGACGGTGGTGTCTTTAGCTCTGATACAGAAAACTATGTTTAGAACCCATGCAGATGTTTCCAACAGACATGGAAAAAACTCAAAGCTTTTAACCTTCCTGTAATTATGCACCTGCCAAGAACCGTTCATTATGTTACTTTATTCAATCCATTTACATTTTAAAAGCTTTTCCTCTTTGCTGCTTGTAAACATTTTAATGGTTTTGATAGGTTTTTAACCACATACTTCCTCCCTTTTTTCCTTTTTGCCTCTGGAGTTTTCTTGGTTATAGGAATAAATATATTGTTTTAAAAAATCAAGTTCTGAGAATTTATTTTTTTTGTTTTGTTTTTTACTCAAATATTGCTTGGATGTAATGGAGGAAACATGTTTAAAAGAGTAATAAATACAGAATAAAGGAATACATTTATTTTTAGAAAGTAAGTTTTTAACAGTTTGTGTCCATGCATGAGGCTACCCTTCAACAGACATTCTGATCTACTATTTGTTTTTTGAAGAAAACAATTTGCTTCTCTGAGTCACATTTATACCATACCATACTATGCTACTTTACTCTTTCTGCTGTAGAATTAAAACTCACATATCGACATAGCAGCCTGCCTATAGAGAACAACAGATCTAGATCAAAAAGGTAATACATGCAACCGTAATTAAACTATGCTAATCTTAAACTAAAATATGCAAGTGTTTTCAGTTATATTGGCCTGTGAAAAAAACAACAAAAAAAACAGGCTTAAATCAGAGGCAATCTTTGGTTTTAGTCAGGAGTTTCTGAGAAGTTCTGTAAGCATAACCTACCACTTACTTTTAAACCAATAACATAATAACTGGTTCATCCCAAAGACAGAACATCAAAACAAAAGATGAGCAGCGTTCTTTTGTTGTTATGCATAATCCAGTGCAGTGAGGGTTGCTTGGACTCCTACATTGTAGAAAACAAACAACTATGCAAACACATGGAGCAGCAGAGGAGAGCCAGTAACTCTGGGCGAGATTCTGCTCTAAACTTGCACCTCGAGAACAAAGGACACACCTTTGAAGACCAACGTGTTCAGGTTTTGGACAAAGAGGACGGATGGTTTGAAAGAGGAGAGAAGGAGGCTATATTTGTTAAAAGGAATGACACGCTAATCATGATTAAAATGGCCAAAAACAAAATCTGTGCACAACAAAAGACTTCAACAACCCGGAGGATGACAGGTGGGTCTTTGATTTACATCTGACTTGATCAGAAGAATGATTCTCCTACTACAGCTTGCTTTGGTGGGATCCCAGAGAACTGACAGAGACTTGACAGAGAAGGTCCGCTTTCCTACAATTAAAGCCTGTTTTGTTGTCATTGATGTACCAAACCAAAATTATGTTACCTTTACAGAGTTTATACTAAACAAATGATAAATATAACTTTGTTATACTTGAGTATGTATAGTTTTGATAATAATTGAACTTTATTAACCTCACATTGGAGAGATTTACCTCTGCATTTAACCTATCCCCTTGGGGAGCAGTGGTTGAGGGTCTTGCTCAGAGACCAAGAGTGGCAGTCTGTGGGAGTGGGGCTCAAACTCAGAACCTTAGGATTCCAGGCTCTATGCCCTAACCACTAGGCCGCCACTTATAATTATACACACACACATACTCGTTCTGCCATAGTGAGGACCATGCATTTACTCCCATTGACCTCCATTGATTTACAGCAGGCATCCCCAAAGTCGGTCCTTGAGGGCCGCTGTCCTGCAGGTTTTAGAGGTTTCCTTGCTCCAGCACAGCTGATTTTAATTGAAAGCTGATTAACAGGCTTTTGCTCTACTGCAATCATTATAATCAGCTGTGCTAAAGCAGGGAAACCTCTAAAACCTGCAGGACAGCGGCCCTTGAGGACCGACTTTTGGGATGCCTGATTTACAGTCATTTTGAACCCTTTGTATGCCCTAACCCTAAAACTAACCCTCAACCTAACCATTACCAATGCATACCTCATTCTAACCCTAACCCCATGACACCTTAGCCCTTAACCTCAACATGTGAGGTTAATAGCATGTGGTCCTCAATCTGATGGTGAAATTGGAAGAAATGGTCCTCACTCTGAGGGCTAGACAGGTACACACACACTTTGGTATACATATAGTAAAAGAAATATATAGGCAACATTAAAATTAGTATACTTTGAGCACACTTGCGTCTACTATTTTCCGCTAAGGTATTTTGCTTGCTTGCTGTCTACTAGATCTAATACAATATAATCAATCTGTGGGGATTAATGCCAGTTGCTCATCTGGCCTCCATCCAGCCTGGATCAGGTTTGTTCTAGGTTCTTAAATCCCTTCTTACTGCAACATCAGCAAATATGTTTCCCACTTTTTGCAAAAATAAATATTCCATTTTAACCACTGTCTTTCTTCTCTTCCTAGAAGCTGGTGCGCACCTTCAAGCAAGGTTTGCCAGGCTTTATGTGGGCACATTTCTGTTGGCTGGGCAGCTTCTAGTAAGAAGATCTTTTCCATTTTGACATCAGGACATAAATCTCTCCATCAGGACATTCCAAGACATTGCAGCATCTCAGGACATTTAGGAAAAAAACCAAACATGAAACCTGGAGGAAGGAGAATTATTCAGTGTTTCCCCGCCCAATTGGACATTCCTTTTTGAACATCTCTGCAGTCCCTCTCACAATGCAGCTGTTCTATCTTGGCTAAGAGCAAAGTATATAGTGCTTATTTTGGCTGTTGAGAGGCTTGATCAGTCTCCCTCCCTCCCTGATAAGAGTCATTAGGACCCTCCAGAGACTCCGATGGAGAAAGCAGTGGGAGTGTTTCAGTTGTGTTGCATTGCTGAGCAGTTTGGCTGTTGTGATATTTTTCTATTTTTTGCTTAAGCTGTCTCACCCAAGTGAAGAAAGTGAATTGTGGGTCTATCATCACTGAGGATGCTGATTTCATGGAATTAAATGAAAAAGGAGAGAGGGAGAGTTTTCTTGTAACAGAAGAAAGCAGGGTTTAAGTAAAGTACAGTGAGTTTAGACCCATCTTAATGTGACAAAATGGGGGAGTGGTGACCTTTAGTTGAAGATCCCTGGTTATATTCACACAGACTGCAACTCAGGGCTCCTTCAGCAGCAGCCATACTCTTAGAATGTTTGGCATAACATCAGCGCAGTGCTCTTTTACACAACCAAGCAAATGACAGAATTTTTAGATTTCACCTTTTACATCTCAGAGTTGATTTCATCCAGCTTGTTGCAGAAACGTTGCTTTCCCTCAGACATTTAACATGAAGGATTCCCCTCTAATTTCCTGTATACGCCTTTATTTCAAAAAATAGGTTTTGACAGAGTAATGCTGCCTTGGAAACTCCAGCTGTGTATTCGAAATACACACAATAAAAAGATCTCAATGTGAAAGCCCTGGCACATTTGGGGAAGGATTTTGTGTTAATAGTGTTTAAAAAATTGTCATGTTGACATTTTTAGTAATCAATGAGGGGGAAAGAAAAGAGAACTTTATTTACCACATAAATGGGCTGTTTAGTTGTTTTTTTAATGAAAAAAATGCTATAATTAAATAGGTGTTTAGAGGAATTAGATCCTGAAACTGAAAGTTTGTTAGTTTTTAGAGGGATTGAAGTTGATTTATAAGAAAAGCTTAAAAATAGTGACAAATTATGATGTAATATCAGTTTTTAAAGTAAATATCTAAAAGGCCCTGATGGGAGGGGATTTGCTAGGAGTGAAACCCCCCCCCAAAAAAGGTTCAAACAGTAATTGGACACCTCAATGGCAACGAGATTTCAATAACCAGTCAGCAATCTTTTACTTTTACTTCTATCAGTTTGCATATTTCATGTTTATTAAATGTATTTTTGCATTATTTTCATCTGCTTTAAATGTCTTTAAGGTGTGTGTAAAGTCACACATACAGTTTCTTTTTTATTCTAATATGAAGACGTTAAATAACCATTAATTTAAGAAAATTCACATAAATTCCAGAGCAAACTGCAAACACAGCAAACATGATCACCAATAAAAATCATTAACATCTCCAAAGGTCATTATAGTGAAGTGAAACATGTATACTTGCTCAATCAGCTTTAACTCATGCACCTCGTTCTTTTTAGAAATTCAACAAAATGTTGTTTCAAGAAGGGATCTGCTGATCAACTTATATCAACTTGCATCTAAAATGTCTGATATGAGCACAGATAGATGGACTTGGCTCCATCATGTAATCAGCTTTAGTATTTCTATGTAGCCGTGCTTGTATCCTGCACACAGAGCGCCGTCACCACAGCAGATGTTACGCTGCGATGTGGCTTTTACCTTCTGGAGGTTGAAAAACAAGCTACTGCTGAGTTCAAAACCTGTCTCGCACAATTTTCCAGTCTTCTAAATTATAATTTATTCAACAGATGAATTTCCTTTTTAATATAAAATTTATGCAACGCATTAGTTAAACATAAAGGGATGCGTTTTTCTCATACTTGTTGTACCTAATCAGCCTTTTTTTGACTTTCGAACAACTTGAGTATCTTTTGTCCTGATATCTTATTGGGTCAATATTGGTATCATACAGAACTCAAAGCTGCTATTTTGATGTCATATCAGCAATTAAAAAGTTGGATTGGGACACCGCTAGCTCATTCAATTCCTTCCTGAATGAAAGAAGAAATGTTTAAATAAATCATTAAAAGTCTAGAATGGGGATATTTGTCCCAGTAAAAATTTTATGTAAATGTTTAAGAGGCTGGCCAGTCCTCAAACACCATTATGTGCTAATATAACTCAAAAAGGATACATGAGTAACAACATTTGTACATTTAAGTCAATATTAAATCAATCATTTGTTTTGTTTACTGTAGTCAACCGAAATTCAACTTGTACAATTCTTATTCAGTGCTTTAAATCTGTAATTTAATGCTCATATATTTGCAATTTATACTTGGAAATTTATGATTGTTTAAATTAGTGATTTATACTTTTATTGTTTCTTAGCTGTAACCTTGTATTTGTAACTTCTAAGCTTGTATTCTATCAGATGGAACATTTGATTTCACATTTTTGTAGATGAAAACAAAAAAATACAAATCTTAAACTTACTTACTTAAAAAGCTTTAGTTTCATTCTCAATAGTAATGTTACCATGCATGTTTAGCATCTAAAACCTGTTTGTTTATGAATTTGTGAGCTTAAAGGTTAAATCAAATAAGGAGAAATGACCCAGCAAACGCTGCATGCTTTTTTAATTTTTAGTAAAGAAAACATCTCTGCTCCTTGAACTTCTCACTAGAGAAACAGCAAACAGACACATTTCAGAACAATATTGCCTTCAAATATCTACCCTTCCTCTCAGGTTTAGTATAATTACAGTATAAAAAAAAAAAAAAATCATAGAATCAATTTAAAGTGCAGGACTAACATTTTCTCTCTTAGTGAGAGAAAACACAAAAATTCAAGCTTCCAGTTAAAGTTGGAAATAAAAAATGATAAAAAGGTGTTGAAGTGAATACTGCTACAGTTTTAAAACTGATTAATAAGCCTTGGTGATGTTATTTCTTTTAGGTTTTGTGTAAACAGTCCAAACCTATGGTAAATATATTTACTGTAACAGATCCCAACTAACAAAGGCAGACCAGTGATGGTGATAAACTCTATTCCTCAACCCACAATTGAACTGATTAAATTGAATAAAATAAAAAACAAGTGGTTAATTTGGGTATAGATTAGGTGGGAAAAAAAACTGAATTGTAAATTATATTAAATGACAAAAACTGATATGTTCTAGGGAAACAACAAAGTTGGTTATACTCTAACAGAAAGTGATGAGTGACATCTTGTTTCACACAGGTACAATCTTCAGAGTCACAGAAGGCGTTTAACAGTACTGTAGCTCTCAGTATGGCATATCAATGGTCTCTAGGGAACTAACCAAAAAAGCCCAGTCTGTGATAATCAGAGATACTCAGCACAAACCTCCGTCATCCCAGCTGTCAATAATCATGCCTGTAAGGCAACAAATCCTTTACAGTGTTTCAGAAGCACGTTTTGGATTGTCTGCATCGACCTCTCTCTTCCTCTTGAGAGTCTTTCCGAATGTTTCTTCATGTGTACCGAGAGAAAGGCTCAAACTGTGGCCCTGCTCTGCTCTGAGATGTCTCAGGCCAAAAATAAATCAATACTTTATTTATATTAGTCCTTCCAACATGTCCGAGTCCAAAGGGTGGAGGAGAAGGTGGGGGTTTATCAGGCCCAGTGTGAAGCGGCTCTTACTGCTCAGTGGGGCAGACGCTGCGATCTTTGCAGCAGAAATAATGCACAACCACACCATTAGGATACCTGGCAAATGCACTGAAAGAGAACCACAAGAAAGAAGATTTAGTAGCATCATCATCATCATCATCATCTGTTCCAGTAAGAAGCATTAGATTGACATAAAGCATCAAAGTTTTTTCACATGTTGTAACAGAACCAAAAACATAATTTATTATATTCGCATTTTGTCTAAGGTGGAAGGAAAAAGTTAATAATTTTTTCATTTTTAAATAAAAATTTGGATTCCTTTTGGGGTGTCATCAGCTTTTTTGTAGGGACTCGATAAGTTTTTCATTTTTCTTTAGAGAATAAATCAAGCTAAGTCAGATAACATGGAGAGAGACGGTCATGGATTCCTAATAGATTTATGTCTGAGCTTTGACTTGGCCATTCTAACACTGAACATGCTCTTATGCAGCAGGTTTTCTGCTGGAATTTGGTCTGTATTTAGCATCATCTGTCTCACTGTCAGCTTAGACCAGCGCCCCTTTTATTATTGGAAAAAAAAGCAAGCCCACAGCATGATGCAACCACTAAATTTGTCCAAGGTGGTGGTAAATGAAGGGTCTGGACCATTGGTTTCAAACTCTAACCCTTCACGGCTGTGTCCTGTTACTCTTTAAATGGTTAATCTACCCAGTTCTAGACAGCAAGCTTATGTTTGCAAACAATGCATCCTAGCTATATATAAACAGACTTTAACTAACATATCCCAGCACACATTTTCTTTCCCTTTCCCATTCCTTCTATGGCCAGGTGCTTCTAGCTGCCCACCAAGAACATCTGCTAGCTCCTCTTTGGCTGCAACCTCACCTCACCGCTCTGACCCTGTGTGATTTATGGCTCATTGTGTTGACAGGTGTTAGCATACTAAAGCTAGAAGCTGCCGTACTCCCATCTTTCTTCCAGGTTTCATCCAAAGCTGTTTTTATTTCATACCTGATGCTGCTCTGATTGATGATTGGTCAGTGCTGAAGTTAAACTAAAACTTGATTAATTGCTTAATGGGCTCTATGCACAACTCCACTACTTCCTGAACTCAATGCAGCTCTTCTGTTTCCTTTCTTTCATTACTGGATGACCTGATTAATCCAGGTGTGTCTGCCCATGGTTACTGAGGTCAGGCACACCTGGATTAATCAGTTCATTGAATAGAAGCAAACAGGAAACAAACGCTGCCTTAATTTCAGGAAGTAGTGGATTTCTGCAGAGAGCCCATTGTCTAGAGGCCTCTGTTATCAAGATTCCTCATTTGCACTGACACCACTTTGGTTTTATTCTCTTTGTAGTTTGTGTGTTTTAGCTAAGGATTAAACTGAATATTTATTTGTAATAGGGAAAGTATTACTTTTAATATATTTTAGCATAAAGTGGTACCTTATTGGTTTATATAAACAATCTGTTTCTAAACGCTAGTGCTTGAAACAACCCTTTTGAGACAGTTTGAGAATTTATGGTGGTTTACTTAATGATTAATAAAACCAACTGCAGTTATAAATTAAAATGAACATTTATTACAGGTTTTATCATTTATCATAAGAATAATTGCACAACGGCCACATTTACTGGCTGAATAAATGATTGTTAACCGACGATCCAAATCGTTCTAATCATCAAATGCTAATTACAATTCTCTTGTGCAAATAACATATCTATAAGTAATGGATGATTTTTTTTTTTTATCATGACTTCCAGGTATAATAATAATTAATAAATATAAATTATTCTTATATCATAAGAATAATTGCACAACACATCACTTCTTGTTGGTCTATGATTAAAACAGACGGAAGTTTTTTTCCTGCAAGAAAAATATGATAAAGTCAAGAGCCATTAAGCCTTTTGCAAGGTACTGTACAGCAGATATAAACAATTAAGATTTAGGAAAAAAAAAAAACCAGATTATGATTTTATATCGATAAAAAAAGGTATCCATTTTCCTACTCGTAATGAATTATAAGCCATGTCTTGTATGAGAGATTGCTGTACCTGTTTCCTATCTTCTTCTTGCAGACTCTGCAGGTTTTTTCTTCTGTTATTACACATTTAACCTGCTGATGGAAGATTCGTTCCTCTTGCACCTGAAATAAAACACAAATAATTAGCTTTTAAAAAAAATTTTTTCTAACCACAGTCATCTGCATGCCTAAAAAAAGAACAATTTAAATCTTTCAAATGCAGTCATCCACTAGTTACTGAGGTTGAGGACTAGTTAACTTCCAAACCACAGCCCTACTGTCCTAATAATGTTTTAGTATCATCATGAATCCCCTAAATGGTCTGTATCATTTGGTTTTGAAGGGAATGCATCAAATGCTCCCTTTGGGATTTCCCTCTGCATGGGAGCCACTGAGGCATCATGCTGTCCCTTCGTGTGGAAATAACCGACCCCAGAACTCACCCGGAGGAACTCGGCCTGCAGGAGACTCTTCAACACCTGATTACAGCGCTTCATCTGGGCCTTCTCCTCCAGGACGCTCTCAAGAAACACCCTTATCTCTCGGATCTGAGTGTTTGCTGGGAGCAGATTAATAGCCTAGAAAGACACCGCAGAAAAACTTGTTTAAAAAATGATTTTGGATAAATCAGCTCTGATACATTAATTTTGTCTCATCAGAGCAGAAATCTGTTCCTCAACCCTTGTCTTTTATTCATAGCAATGATTCAGAAACAAAGTTTAAGTTTAAAAGTGCAAAATGTCAAAGAAGTGGTCACCTTGGAGGTGTTCAGCTTGCTGTGGTGCAGCTCCAGGACCTGCAGGGCTGCCTGCAGGTTTGCCTTAGGCTCAGTGAGCTCCATCGTAATGGGCCCCAGGTAGTGAGAGTCAGGGGGGGAGAGGTACATCCGCAGCAAGGACAGATAAACCTGCAACAGCAGTTAATTCTTCCCTGCAGTCAGATCTCATTTAGGTTGGACGTAATGACAATGAATAAATGACACACACAGGGACAGACGTTTGACTTTCAGATCAATCAAGCATTAAGAAAGTTGGAGAGAGCAGAACTTTCAGCGGATAACAGGGAGGATGAGCCGAGAACAGAGGCTCATCAGTTTAAACCTCTGAAATCAACAGGGATAAATAAAAACACTGGTTTAATCATGAGAATTACAATACCAGGTACATTTACAGCAGGAAAGTCCTTCAATCTGGACCTTCATGGGACTTTATCTTTGTTTGTCTGTTCACATTAAAGAACAGAGCTGGATCAGGGTCCTTATGGAAGCAAACTCCGTCTCCCTCAAAAAGAAAGACATGGTCTGAACTAGAGTTGAAACTAACTATTATTTTGCAAATCGATTAATAATCTGATAGCCAAAGGTTCCTTAAAGAAGACTTTTTACAAAACTAAACCAGATGAAACTAAAACGTTTCCACTTGATAAGTTATGGATAGAGCATTTTACAGACAATAAAGATTGTCGATTTATTTTTTTTTACAATTTTGGTATAATTACTGCTCTGTCAGCTTAAGGCATGTTTAAAGTCTCCCTTATTAAATTAGTTGACGATTATCTCAATAATCAATAACGATTAATCCGATTAGTTGTTTCAGCCCTAGTCTGGACGTTTGGTCGGACCAGCAGTTCGCTGGTATTAACACCAGAATATAAGGTACGGATCAGAATAGATCTGGTCAATTAATGGTGCTTTCAAACTGAATAAAATATCATGAAATGAGACCCAATTAAAATGAAACTATTAGACCAAAAACTCCAGTTTACTCAAACATCATTTATTTTTTCCAAACTAAAGAGAAAGTTCACTCATCTCTTTTATGACTGAGGCAGGTTAAAAAACAGACAAACAAAATTTCTAAAATTCAGAAACCAGAATCAGAACTCTAATTTAGGAACAGCAAACATCCTGCCTCCTATAAACTATCTGAACCTGGCAAAATTAATCTCCAGACCGCCCAACCTAATCCATTCCTCTGATCTCCTACTTTTCAGTCTTGTCCATCCAAGCAAAAAATCTCTACATCATTAACTCTGCCTCTTCTACAGTAGCCCAGTCCTGCCTGATCTGAATAGCTGAGCCCAGGTGCTCCTTCCTCCTTCACAAACATATTCTGTCTTCCCTCTGCTGACCTTTCTTCCTCTTCTCTCCTCATGCTCCTGATGCATCAAAATGTCTTAAGAAACAGTATTGATTCGTTTTCTGTAAATTTATGCCCTTTATGAAAATCTCTAATTTCTCTGCTATTATGATCAGACTTTGTAGCATCAAACAGCGCTACAAAGAGAGAAAAAATAAATAAATAGTACTTACGTCCTTATTTCCCTCCACTGAACTGTTATAATGCCGGTGACAGTATCTATATAGTAAAAACAAAAAAATTAAAGTTAAATCAGAGACTCACAAATAGGTGGATCAAAACCTGATCAATAAAACCAACATGCTGGCAACATTTCACAGAATCTTTGATGTTCAGAGGAGTTGTCTGCTTTTATCATTCAAAGAAACAAACTCACTTTAGATCAGTCAGACAACCTGATGGTTACTGTTACCATGTGAGGTTGTGTAAGGGTTTGCTGGTGTTCAAGTACTCACTCTTCAGCCATGTGGGTGTCGTTGAGAACGTGAACATATATGAAAAGAGCCTGTTCGTGTTTACCCATGCGACCCAGGAGCAAAGCCCGTTCCTCCAGCAACCCTTAGAGATGGAAAACAAGTTCAGTTATGCAGCCAATAATCTGCAAGATATAATGCCCTAAATGACATCAAACAGAAATAAAGTCCCTCCATTTAGATTAAATCAAGGCTCTTCATCTCATCATCAGTGATGAAAATATGTAGAGAGGGATTAACTAGGTTTTGTCAGATAAATTTCAGATTAAGGTTTTTCTTTTAGCAGAAAAACATCTAATTTAGAGAGCTGCACCATACATGTTAGTTTTATCACTTAAACAACAGGCTATATGGAATGCAGCATCTGCTGTCTGTAATATTTCCTCATAGATCGTCTCAGAGAAAATATGGATTTATCTAAACTAATAATTTTACAACTGTAACATATCAAGAACAACTCAGGTCCAGGATTAAGGGGATGGTGGATGGTATAGAAAAGCCCAAACATTTTTTGATTAGCTGTGCATGCGTAAGATGCAAATGAACTTCACAGATACAATCTGGTCATTTCTTTCTTCTGAGCCCTTTCTCTTCTCCTTCGTATGCAATGTGACACATGCACACACCTGTGCATCCCATCAGTCATGAAGGCGAGGGTGCGCACCCCTGTTTCTGTCCAACCCTTTCTAAATATGTTATGGCTACAAAAACTTCACACTAAGAGCAAATAAAGGAGCCACAATTTGCAGCATCTGTGGCAACAAAATACAGGAAGGTTAGTTTCTAATCTAAATAATATCCATGTTCAGAAAATAGTTTGCTGTTTTTTTTTCTTTGGAAGGAAAAAGATGCAACGTTTATCTGGAAAACAAATTTTCCATTTTTTTTTTTTCCAGTTTAAGATAATATATCACAGTGCAGCTTTCTATGGAAACTAATTAGCAGATGTCATGACACATCATTGCATTGTGACTGTCAAATACAAAGGACTTTGCTCAAGACTTCAGACTTCACTATAACTTACAAAAAATGACTCGTAAACATCTCTGCTACAGCCGTGTTAAATTTATCATAAGAAGACTTAGCTGCCCGTTAGGATAAAACGGGGTTGAATAAAGTTTTTACACCAGGTGTATACCGGTAATCCATTTTTCCCAAATTCCCCCCATTTGTGTTAAAACTCTTTTTTGTAAACCTGGGAGGCGAGAGCTTTAAAACCCCTTCCTACCATCGAAAGGAAAGTCGCTGATGAGTCTGCCAGGTTCGTAGCTGGTAGAAATATCCAGGAAGGACAGCAGCTTATTCCTGAAGCTTCCCAGTTCACCTTTCTCATGCCCAGCAGGAACAGCAGGAACCCCTACATAAACAAAGCACATCTCATTAGCATCATCAGCCCTATGATGGATAGTAGACTGAATTATCAGTCTATAAACTCTGAAACTGGAGACAAACCTGCTTAATCTTTGTTAGTATATCTTAGTATGCTGTCTGTAAGAATTAAAAAATATATTCCTTTTATCCTTTTGGTGCGTAACTTTGAAATTAGATCAAATGACATCATTATGTTTGTTATAAAAATCAATTATTAATCACTTTACCAACACTATAGGCCAATCACTCAGACAGGAACATTTTACTGTACCACACAGTCAGGGATGTCCTGGTCCTACATGGATACTAAAAAAAAATCTTTCTGATATCAACTGAACAAAGAGTTTACGGTTATATCAGCCTGCATCTAAAAGCTGATGGAAGCTACAGCACTCATCTTCATCATTTATTCTGATCATGCATCTCTATCCAACATCCAACAACATCTCAAACAGTAAAGGGCTGGTCATCCTCCTGCACCAGTGTGTCGAAGTGAGCTTGTCACAGGTATGATGCAGACATTTTTGATTCATGCTCAATTTTGAAGCCTGGTATGCGCTATGTTATTCCTCGCCACAACGCAAGAGGGACAATCACGAACTAGCTGTGTCTAGATATGGCCGTACCAATCAGAGGCCTCCTTTCTGCGGTCATCTACAATTTTGGAGAGGTGCAGTAGAGTGTCTGCGGATGGAGCGGGGAGGCGACACCTACGCAATGGACCTAGTTTCGAAGTATAAATCAGCTTTAACAGCTTCTACTACCAAAGTAGCCGAAGCTACTTTACTGGAGCAAACATTACTGGACTTTGCAGCTAAGCACAAAATTTGTCATGAGCAAAATTTTCATCTTGAAATGTTTTCATTTGTAGAATACTCTTATGTTTAAAGGTTAAATATATTCTTTTTAGTTCTCCTACGATAGCCTGAGATGTAAAATGAGTTTTCCACTATTTATAGCAGTTGCCTCAATGGGTTCCATCAGTCCGTTCGTCCACGCTCTCGTTCACCTCGATACTTTGTCTGAGTTGCCGCTGATATTGACTCACTGGAGAGTGAAACTGGGCCACAGTTTGTGAAAAGAAATCACAAACACACAAGAAAATACAATGTTTGTTTAGCACAACGAAAGGGTTCAAACCGTATTCTGATATGTAGAAGAATAAAATGAGAGTAAACATTAGGGTGTTTTTTTAAGAATGACCTCAGATCTTCCCTGGGAATGCAAAGTAAACACAGTTTGTCCTCTTTTTGTTAAAAAAATATGATGCTTTGATAAAAATAACTACGAAACACATTATTGAAGCAGGTGAACAAAAGAACTATTCGTTTCAGCCTGTTGTCAGAGCTGAGAAAACGTTTGCATAAACTCGGGGCCTTGCACTTCATTCCTTTATTGTTTAAAGTTATTATAACCTTTTGGTTCATAATAAATGGATCAGTTTTTCTAATACCATTTTTATTTACTTTTGTTCTCTGCATATGTCACATATGTCTGATCAATATCCATAACAGTCAGTACTCAAAGATTTGATATTGATTTTCAGGGAGGAATCTTTCTAAATGGAGGCTCCTTCCATCTATTCATGCTTAAAAGAAATGCATCCTGGGATAAACCTACTATGGTTACACTGTTTTGTTTATTTGAATAAAATAATTTTTTAATGTTTGATGGTATGCAAAAACTTTCCTGTGAATGTGAATCTAAATTTATGCTTTTGTTTTTACAACTCGAAAGAACGAGACCATCAATTATTACAAGCAAAAATAACCCCGGCAGGTTTTTTTTTACTTTAAAGCCCCCTAAAGGGTGTGGGAATATCTGAACACACCTTCTGGCAGCGAGTTGAGGTACTGTTTCATCAGGCCTTGAACCCTGCTCAGGTACAGTTGAATCAGGACGTTGTGGAACTCCGGGCCCTTCTCATCCCACTCGTAGATGATGTGCTCCAGATACGGGATGGCCAGCTCCTCAAAGCCTTCCTTCAGGAACTGAAGCACTTTGTCTCGAGGCAAAGTCTCCACCTCAGGCAGATCTTCAGTAAAGATCTGAGCAAAGAGGAGACATTAAGTCGATGTTTAAGTAGGGGATTATTTAAATTGCCTGTGCCTTCCTGTCACGGCAGTACAGGAAGCTGAGACACATAAATCAGAGAGAAAATATCTGCTTCCCACCTTCAGGCCATCCTCTGGACAGATCTTAAGCACCCATGGGGAAAACTCGAAGATTATGCCCAGATTCTCTGCTCCTGTGAGTAAAATAAGTTTACAGGTCAGGAAACTCTAACCTTTGTCGTTATTAGTTTATAAAAAAAAAATTAAAACTATTCAGTTCAAACTATCAAGACGATTGGTGCTGTGCAAGAAGTTTCATACATCTCTTTATTTTACATTTTGTCACACTACAGCCACAAGCTAGGTATGTCATAGGGATTCGATCTGCTCTGATAAATAATAATGTGCTTTTGTACTCAACAACCATTAATCTTATACCCCTAAATATATACCAGTGCAACTGACCTCCCACAAAAGCCACATAAGTACTAATAAGACTACAGGAACTATAATAACTCTTTTTTAAATTGTGTTTTACAGATAAGATTCTCTCCACCTCTGTGGGCGAGCTTTCCTCTGGAGTGAGGAGCGAGGAGTGTTTCTTTTGGTCTGCTGGTCTGTTAGCAACAAAACTCCTTTTGAGAGGAATGCATTAGTAAAACTAATTCCTAAAACTAGATATCTTAAAAGCTTATAATATAAGGAAGCTTCATATCTCGATTCCTTTTTTTAATCAAATGTAACCAAACATGTTCCTGGCCTGTAGCAATAGTGGAACAAAATTCACTTAATAAAAAAATAGGCAACAAAGTGAGTGTTTAGATGTGCAAAGTTAGCAGAGAGTGAATATTTGAAGCTGTAATTACAGTCAGACATTGTTCTTTAAAAGACTAATTAAAAAGCATTTCATTTTCATTCTGCTTCTCAATGATGCAACATGTTTTCAATGTCTGTCAAACCAAATCCTAATAAATTATCTCCATGACTGTAGAAGCAAAGGATTCCTGATTCTCACCAAGTCGCTGGAGGTACTGGACGGTTCGCTCATGGCCTTTCAGAGGAGAGTTGGCCTTGGTGGATTGGTCCAACAGAACCTGCAAAGCTGAAACAGAGCAAACAAAGTAAGGAGAGGAAAAGAGGGGAGGGTGCAGAGCAGCACAAGCAAAGACATGATTATGCATCTAAACTGGACAAGGGTTTGTCAGTTGCTGTGAGCAGCTGCTTTCAATTGGCAGACGGATCAGGAGGCAAACTTCGGCAGCGTGACATCAGCGTAGATCCCAGCAGGCCAATTAGGACCAGCTGTGCTACAACATCCAGAAAGGGCCGAAACCAGAGAAATCAGAACTGCTCTGGGTTTGAAGACTCTGATGACGCAAACACAAGCTGGAAACCTCCTCTGAGACGAACTGTGTGGCTTTATTGAGCTGACTCACAAACATTGCTTCGCTACAAGCAACTAACTGGTAACGAGACGACAGGTGACAAATTCAGAGAAACAAAGAGCCTGACATTCAATGCTTTAAGTCAACTGAAAAAAATGATCTATTCAGCAGTTTAATGCAACACATAAACAGCTCAGCCTCTGACGTCAGTTATATTTCACTTGACTCACATCAGATTAATTTTCCCATTGAAAATTAGTTTTCCTTTAATTAAACAATAAAAGAAAAAAATGGGCTGATAAAAAGTTTAACTTTCCATACAGAAAACATAAAGGGTGGTTTAAACAATTGCTAAAGACCTGGACTTTAATGGGCCAAAGAGACCCAACAGAACAGAATTTTCAGTCCCATCCTTTGTTTCTTTATTCATTAAAGGCTCGGTTATGATCCAAAACAAACTGCCTTGTTTCTTTTAAACTGAAATCCTTCTGAAGAAATGGAAACCTGTTAACCATTTCAGCTTTTGTTCACAACTGGAACCAGACTTTTTCTGGGGGTAATTTTTAGGGGTTTTAAGAAGGAATATTTATATTTACACCATCACTCACCCTCATTTAAACACTTTTAATTTCTGAGCCTGACCTGACTCCCTTTAGTTTAGATGTTATTGTGACTGAAGAGAAGTAATAATCTTCTTGAAAAAAAAAAAAAAAGCATTGGTTCTAGATTTTACAAAAAAGAACCTTGCAAAAATGTGGACTGCATTTTACTACTCCCTGTACTTTGGAAAACTTGCTCAAACTTTTCTAATTTCATTTCAGACAACTAAGCAGCTCCTCTGTGATGGTCTCAAAGGTGTGTTGGAGAGAATGTGTAGCAAACACGCATCATGAAGACCAAGTTAAACAGCTGACAGGTCAGGGAGAAAGACGCTCAAACCAAGGCTTGAATACGACAACATCAAAAGCTTTGAATATCTCACTGAAGGGCAACGCTTCATCTGCTTTCTAAAAGCAAAAGGAGTCCAGCACAACAGCGCAGTAACAGACAAGGTCTAAGGTGACAGGCCTCCATTAATATGAATAAAAGCTTAGAGGTACATGGTGACACTAGAGGAAGGAACTGATCTGAGAGAATCTGTCCATGGAGTCGTGGATTTATCACACAATTATTTTTAAAAATAAGATTCTGTTTTAAATGTGATAACAACGTGAAAAAAAGCTTGAAAGGTGGAAATACTTTTTGCATTTGGTTATTTTGATTAAATCAGACGTGCAATACAACTCATCTTAAGTTGCTTACATATGTTCTTGATTATTTCTGTAAAGATAAATCTATAATATTAGAGAAGATGAATAGTTTTCCCAGGTACCATCTAAGGCTCCAAATAATTTGAAAAAATTTCAGATGCATAACAGGAATCACAGAAAAACAAAATCCGGCTGATTTAAATGAATGATTGATTACAATGATCAAGGTGTAAACATGCAGTTTCCTTAATAGCCAGCCTTCTGAATTATCCTGTCTAATCTTTTCTGCAGGCTGCATTGCGGTTTAAGTGATGTCCTGTTGGTGCTACCCAGGACTTTAACACAATAGGTGAGGTATGATAAAAAATAAGTGAAAAAAAGGATTTGTAATTTTTTTACGGTCCTGAAAACGTTTAGATTTACTAAGAATTGTGATGTGTCTAGATAATTTAAACCGGACATGTTTAGTGTGAGGCTTCCAGCAGAGCTTTTCGTCAATCACCCCATTTTCTCATTCCACCTCTCCCCCACCCACCTCGACTTTCCCCATGTTCCCTTTATCATTTCCAAATAAGTATCTAATGATATACCTGAAGAATATTCACAGTCAGAAACAATCTTGACCAGGCATAGGTACTTAATACATGATTATATATCAAAAAACAATTCAACAGTGGTACGACACCACAACACGTGCGAGTTTGATCATGATTTGATCTTGGCAGCTGCTTACCTTTCTGGTGTAAGCCCTTTTTTTCATACAGAATGATGAGCTCGCTGTACTTCTGGGATTTCTTCAGGACGTACTCGCTTTCCTCAATGTGACAGTGGTTGTTTTCCAGTCGAAGAAGAGGAGAGACAAGGGCCACGTTTGTCTGAGCAGAACAGATTAACAAACACTGTGAATTTAATTTTTATTTTGCTGTTGGAGACTCTCATCGTTTAGGGCGTTACATCTAACCCACTTTATTAAATCAGACCTAACACAGCGTCAAATTTATCTCAGTGATGGATCTTCCCCCTTCATAAATGTCTACAAAAGGTTAGGACTTTGTGTAAGATATGAATTAAATATAACTGAACACTACAGAAAGGAAATAATGTTCAAAATTATTAACTTTTCTTTTTGCAAATCTTAACTTATTTGGATGCAGGGCTTTTTGAAAAGGCTGGGAAAGGAACAAGGAAGTACTGGGAAAAATGAAGAACGGTCAAAAACGTAAAAATATTATTTGGGATAGCACATATATTTGTATGATGTTAACACTTAATTATCCATTTACAAATTATTAATTTAAAAAAAAAACATTTTCCACATTTTTAAGTGAGAGATTTCTTTAGCTATCCTTTACTTTAAAATAAAGTTAAAAGATAGAACTGCTTTTAGATTGAGTTGGATGAGTTATAATGGCACATCTTAATCAAAGCTAAGGCTGCACACCACCCTCAACACATGACGGTAGTGAAACATGGTGAGGGCAGCAACATGCTATGGGGAATACATTTTTTAAGCAGGGCCCTTGATGCTGGTCAGCAGGTAGATTTTCAAAGTGCACCTGCCAATGCGGTGGATTGCGAAAATATTGTTCAACTTGTACAACTGACCTCTAAAAGGCAGGGATAGACCTGAGTGGCTAATTATCTTTTAATATCATGAGTAAAAGAAGAGAAACTGAACAGAAACTTTAGGAATATAAAATTAAAGGCTGTCAAGACATGTCACATACTTGACACTGTGGACATCTATGTGCGCAAAATAATGCATCAAAAATTTCATAATATGCAACATTATGCAAAGCACCGTAAGATCCACTGAGTATTAAATGTGCTAATATCTATGAAGAAAAAAGAGTTGGAGGCCTTACATGCAGATAACATTTCAGCAACGTGGTGTCAATGATCTGCAGGAGCTTTTTGCGGCTTTTAATGGTCGGTGTGCCCTCCATGAGTGGAGACGTGGTGGAGGGGTCAGAGTCGTTCAGCTGCTTAACAAGGTGGCTGCGTTTCTGTCAGGATAAGAAGAAAAAACATTATCAAACAACTGTTTTGTTTTTTGTTTTTGTTTTTTTTTATTTAGCACAATTCATGTGATCCGAACTACCAAATAAACATTTAAAACTTTAATTCAGGACTTCAGGTTTTTCACATATTCAGAATATATATATATTTTTTTTATTTGTCATAAACACCCACCTGGGTAAGATAATCTATAAGGGCCAGATGAGCTTTCTCCAGCTCGGCGACAGACAGCGTAGGCAGAGGGTTTGGGTAATGCAGCTGTTTGCGGAAGTCTGATGGGAGTAGGTCTGGGTAAAGTCCGATCACATGTGTAGGATCTTTTGATAAACAGAGTAAATAAATATAAAATAAGAAGTCTAAAGGCAATATAAAGCAACCAATGCAATACAATAGCAAAATCTATTTTAACATCAGCCACTTAGAGAAAGATTGTGTTTCTTTAGTTAAACAAAAGTGAGCTCCTTGCACATACAACACTGTTTGCAACAAGAAACATGATTCAGTGAACACTGCTGTCTATTATGATGAAGAGAAGGCCTACCGGTGCCAAGTTTAGCAAACACCTGCATGGAGTCATCAAATTTCTTCTGGCAAAACAGGTTGAAGGCGTAAAGGTTCTGGATGTGATGAATCTGCTGCTTCTTGTCACCATCTGCATCATCCTTCATTTTCTGGAGGAGAAAACAAACCACATAAGAGGAGCTGAAATGTGACCAAACCTTAAATTTGATCTGGTTTTCTGCTTAAAGAACGCTGGAAATTCAAAGATCCCTTAATCAACTCTTTTCACAATCGGTTAAAACATTACTAAGCTTTAACTTTTTAAATAAATAATCAATGCTGCTATAGTAAAAGGTAACACCAGAATTTGATCTGCTTACTGCGAGCTGAAGCGCCAGCTCAAACTGCTTGTCCTGGAGAAGCTGTCGGATCTGGCTGGCTATCGACACCGGAACCAGGCGCCAAACAAAATGGTTGCTGGCGACATAAACGATATTTGGCCTGTAAGGGAAGAGAAATTATTTTAGCAACCCCTAGACGTCGATGCTGCTGCTCTTCTCCACTACAGATGGACCAATAGCATCTGTAATTTAAAGAAGGGACAGAGATGAAATCCCCCAAAGATAAATGATATACAAACAAAAGATTTTACAGAAAATACAGAAATAAATACAGAACAAATATTAAAATCCCCTTTTGGTGGATGTTTTTTGGGGAGAATTTTGATTTTTATTTTCCTCCTCCCAATTTCCTACCTTTTGTAGTTTTTATTTTTATTTTTTATACTTCTTCAGGTATGACAGTGAGCTCTCCCCACAAGAAATGATAGGATGAGTTTTTTTTTATTTAGGAAAAAATAAAACATGCATGGGAGCTTGTAGATCTATCAGAAGATATTTAAAGGGGTTTATGACTCTTTATTACCATGATTTTAAAAAACAAACTTAAATCAAACCTACTGAAAATGTTTTTAAGAAATAGGGAAAAATGTATTTAAATTATTGAGTTATGTCCAAAGTATCAAAAAGGCGAGATTGTACTACAATTTGTAACTTGATTTCTCTTGTTTTGTCTGATCGATGTATTTTTCGTCTCACCCTGCTGATGTGATGAAACGTGGCCTTTGCAGCTCCACATTCTGCACCAGCAGCCGTGGCTCCAAGGTCCGGATCTCCACGTACCGCGGGAGGACTGCAATGATGTATGGAGGCTGGTGCTCTGGGGGATCAAATCATTTTATATCTATTTATATTAACTTAAAAAAGGCAATGGTTATTAAGATAATGTTAGTAATCAGAACTAAACAAGGTATTAAACAGAAATAGATAGCTTTGGTCACCATTTTTTTAGCACCAAGGATCGGGTGTAAAAAAAAAAAATTGAAAAGTCTGTTTTGACTGAGGATCACAATTATTGAGGCTGATATATCTACAGCAAAAGGGTAAAAGTTTAGTGGTTTGTGTGTAGATAAAGCAGATAATGGATGGCCCGCTTAAACAGATTGAAAATGTTCTGGTTAGTATCCGCCTCTCCCTGCCAACGGCATTCTGTTGACAGCATTAAGATGAGGAAATTGGAAGCTGTATAGAACCAGTGCTGGGAGGCTTCATTTCCTCTTGTTCCTCCTGGATTCCAGTGAGAAGAGAGACAAACAGCAATAAAACAACTGGAGAAACTCCCCTCACCATAAACGTGTGCTTAATGTGTAATATATAGAAAAATGTCTCTTTTTTCCCCTCTGTCTCTCAATCCTGCATTACACGTTGGTGTAGCGCATAAAAATCCCAATAAAAAATGTGAACGTTTGTGGTTGAACTGCGGCACGCTCTTTAGCAATGAAAATTAAAGTCATCTTTACCCTGACATAAAACACCGCACATTATATGGATTCATTGGACCCAAACAGAAAACAATCTACTGTGAGCCTACAAGTGATTGTAGTGTCAAACCACCTCTTATCCATTGCCTCTTGTGATGCTTATTTTACTTTGACAAGCAAGATTATTTATGTTAAATCATCAGATTTCAGGATGTTAACAGGTAGAGAATTATTATTTAAAAACAGTAATTATGTTAATTTATTTTATTAGAGTATTTAATTCTAGGTTTGGTTTTAAGATACAACATAATTACGTTATAAAAGGCTTTCTTTTAGGGCCTCATGTCTGTCAAATGAAACAAAAAAACCATTACATGGAAGTGAAGTTGCCACAGCTTCTACATTCTGGAAAACACCTTGTTTTCTACTTCTTGTTGGCAAGTCTGACACAGAATAAGTACTGTCTGTCTCTTTTGATTAAAATTAAGCAAAGCGTTGGGGAATAGTTTTGTTTCTTTTCCTTACCCATGGCTATAGGGATGTCTGTCCAGTTCAGGGCACACTTCTGGGTGCAAACTCCTTCTTCATTAAGTACCACAGTAAGGTCATCCTGCCCAACAGCCACCTTTCCATCAGCCAGGGGGGCAACCAGAGGCTCCAACTGTTTCCCAGTGGGGAAGAGCTCCTTGATGGAGCCGCGCCCATCCAGCTGTTAACAGCAAAGAGGGTCACAATGTGTCAAAAAAAAAGTAAAAGCCATTCATATCGCGCTCAGAAATATATTAAGATAATATTTTAAGAACATATGACAAATAAACCATATTTTTTAGTTATTATCTTAGCTTTGTCTGAAAACATTTTTTAACTTCACTAAGAATGTCTTTCACTTGCACCAACACAAACAACGCAAATATCTGAGGCTATACTCAGTAAAACACACCCGAATAAGGTAATAGTCCCGTTTGAAACCAACACAGATGGAGTTTTCACACCAAGCCATGGACTTTGGAATATCTGGCACACCCAAGTCGCTCTGAGACACAGAAACAAAATGATTAGATGGCAAATCTCCCCAAAAGTACAAGCAAAACACAGTCCTGTCAATGGATGGAGTGAAACCTAAATAATCAACATGAAATAATTTACCTGCAGCTCATGAAACTCTCTATCCTTCCAGTAATACAGCTGGAGTTTCCTTTTCACTGCCACGCACATTCTGAGGCTTTGCTCTCCTGTACTTGTTTGCTGAAAGTAACAAACAAACAAAAAACACTTAGAACCTTTAAAAAAATCATGGTGGACGTTATAGTAGATTTTATTAAAAATAATAGGAAAAAAATGTTAAATATGAGGAGTTTTTCTGTTTTTAAATGGAAAACAAACTGGCTGATATTAGCTGGTGGTCACCTACTTTACTCTGTTAAATTCTAATGCATTTAAAAAGGATGTAAGCCCTTAATTGGAATCGAAAATGGAGCTCCCCTGGGATGTGTTCTCTTTCCACTTTCCTCGCTGAGCACCAATGATTGTCCCTTAGTGGATCTGTCTGTAAAACTCCTGAAGTTTGTAGACAACACCAACATTTAGAAATAACATCTGTTAGAGCAGCCAGAACCAACTTTAATCCACTAAAGGCAGAAATATTAGTGGACTTCGACATGATCTCTTCTCCCCATTCTCAACCAGCAGAGACTGAAATACAGCAGCTGACGAGACTAAAACCTTCCACAGGAGCTGCTGGTCATCCTCTATACTGCTGTCATTCAGTCTGTCCTGTTAGGGACTTTTTCATTTCAGATACAACAGATATTGGAGCTTTGAGTGTTGATTGATTCCAGAAATGATATTTTTGTATTATTTTATTACATTTTCAAATGCCGAATGTCAGAAAAGTCTTGATGAAATGATTCTACTCAAATATTCATGAGAACTGACCTATTTATTATTAATTAATGGATGAAAAAAAAGGTGTAGTGTTTCAAACAGCTTGCTTATATCTGAGATTTTAGATGCAGGCCGATATATTCTGATATTTTCTTTTTTTTACTGATGCTTATACCGATGTTAATATGGTATCAGGGCATCCCTATGTCCTATGTTTGTCAGTCACTGTGTGGTTTGACCTAAACTACATACAGTAGTAGCCATTCAACATTTCGCCACTTTCCTTTATAGGCCCTTGTCTGGTCTCTTTTAATTCCTTTTTTAAACATCAATATTTGTACTAAAATATTCTTTGTGTCATGATTTGTGGACATTAAGATCTAAAGAACGGTCACTCCAGTGGCTGGATGTAGGACGAGATTTAACTGGGAGTTGGAGGGAGGTGGGCTGCCATTCGACTGGGAAGGGCCACTATGACAGCCCAGAGAGCACTGACCAATAACGTTTGCAGAAAGGAATTGTGAGGAAATGCTTAGCCAACACTCTGCAGACCCCAAACATCCTGCCTTAAACTGTTTAAGGTTTAAGTTGGTGTTACAGAGCTCGATTTACAAAAAACAGCCACAATAAAGACAGTTTTTATTCCCCAGTGTCAATCTGATGAACTCTTGACAGCATACTAACTGATACCGAGTTTATGTGAACCAGTCCAACCATTTCTCCATCTTTTCTTGAAAAACAAAAACATATACATCAATAGTTGTACAAAAATATCATTTATTGTTTTTGTATTTCAACTGCTTTTGCACGCACCTAAAGGGTTGCTTTAAATTTAGAAAACAAACGATCAGCAGGACAACAATAAGTCATATGAAAATATTTATTTTTAAATATGGAAACAAATAGGGAAGCTAATATCTAAAGAAATGTCTGGCTTATTTGGCTTCCAACTCTAGTTTCCCACCAGTGCTTCTGCTTTCAGGTTCCCACTTGGAACAAATGCTTCACAAATTGCACAGCTAAAACTTCCTACTTTACACACAGTCAGAACTAATTGGCAACTCTAACATTCATGGATTAATATTCCTTTAAAATAACAAAATTGAAGAACAAAAATATATATCAACTTCTTTGAAGGGCTGAAAACATATCGAAAGATTTTAAATCCATATAGAAAACGTAGAGTATCAAATCGAGACCTTATTCAAAAACTGTAAAGAAGGAAAATCATATATGAAGCATGTAAAACTTTTTTAAGAATGAGGCTCAGAAAGCGTGTCTCGCTTTAGTATTTAACCCACTTTGTCAGTGTGACAGTCTGCAATCACAGCTGTAGCATTTTTCAGGTATTGCTGCTCCAGCTTTTTCTTGTACAACAAAATCAGTGTTGATTCAGTTTGATCAAATGGAAAAAAAAAAAAAAAAAGTTTGTTCTAGATTCTTACATTTATTTAGTTTGGGACTTAATCTTCTGCCATCTTTTAGCTTTTCCTCTAAACAGCGTGCATTTCTTGGTTTTTATAATTTACAAATTATATCTACAAACAAACTCTAATGCCTTTACAGAATGCCAAACATCTGTCATATACAATCCTAAAAAAATACATTAAGGTTGTATTTGTAATGTCATACAAAGTTCATAGCATGCATGCAAAAATCAGTTAGTTACCTCTAAATGACCATGTGTTATGGTAACTTTTCCAAGAAACAGACTTGTTGGAACTAGACTAGCTGACGCCTGTGCGTCTATCAGATGACAACAAAGCTGCGTAAAGTTTATAAACATCCATCCTCAGAGGCCCGTCTATGGCTGTCAAGATGGCAGCATGAACTTCTGTTTGGATTTTTCTCTCCTTTGTTTTTATATTAAATGCACAAAATTTATATAAAAGATTAAATAAAAAAGCAAGGAATCTATTATTACTGTTTATTAGATACTCAAGTCTTTTTAAGAATTATAGAACTTTGGGCGTATACAGCAATCTAAGAAATATAAGATCATAAGGTATGCTCCCCAAAATAAAACTCAATCATAATCACAGCAGTTATTTTCTCAAATGTGTAGAAAATAAAAATGTTCAGAAGCCAGAGGAGGACTTCTCGCTATTATAATTTATACGTTCACCAAAGGAAGAAATGTGGGACAGTTACATGTCTTAGTAATAATGCTCTATAACCACAGACAGACTTACTGACCTGCAGGTCGCATGCGATGAGTGTGGCCCCTTTGGCTTTAGACACCACAGTGATCTGCTGAAAGGTCAAGAGGTCATGGACGTGGATGTTGTTCTCTGGAAGACACAAAAGACGTTTTTGTTGAATCTTCTGAACTAGATGGTTAAAAACTATGCATTGTGGAGACTTGGATGACCGTTAACCAGAAGAACTATTTGCTGAATAAGCAATTAAGACAAAACTGTAGAAAAATATACTAATGTTGTGTTTAAGCCAAAAATTACATATAATCTTTGTCAATAAATAAACTCTGTCCATCAATGGAAAATAATGGAAAGTGGAAAGAAACATCCCTGAATCAAAAAGCTAGCAGTCACAGTGAGAAAAGCTATTCTGTAGACTTGCAAAAACTGGCTTCAACGTATTTTAAATGTTGTTTTCTTCATTTAAAAACAGCTACGAGAACAGAAAACAAACTTTTTAGAAATATGATGGTAAAATTCTAAATACATAAAAAATTGGATGTCTAACTTACCCAAAAGACTGACAAGAATTTTGTACTGAGAGACAACGTATAGCTGCAGAAAGAGAAAAAAATACAATAATAAAGCAGCAGATGTTGGGTTATAATTCTAGTACCAGACTGAATGGAAAACGCCAAATAAAAACGGATTTTAAAGCAATTCTAAAGAGCCTTAAAACAGATAATCTTATGTTTGATAATTTCACAGAAAACATGGGTGTAGATCCCAGCAGGAAGTTGCTGCATTGCCTGAATATTAACCCTGCAAAATTTACACAAATATACAGTCTTTCATGGAAATTTAGTCCCAATGACTTCCGTCTTTATAATGAATGGGGAAAGGGCGAAGTGATGTATGCCATATAGCAGTCTGAACATTTGTAATTGTTTTGTGTGGCAGGGTTACTGCCACACTGCAAAAAACAATCTAGAAATAAGTCAACATTTCTTAAATTAAGTGTATTTACCCTTAAGTGAGTAGGTAAATAAGAAGATTTTCCAATGGAATGAGTATTTTTACTCTCAAAATAAGATAATTAGATAATATGCACTTGAAGTAAGACAATGTAATTGATTTTTTTTCTTATTTTATATGTAAATTGTCTTTTTCCATTGGCAAAATGTCTTACCTCCACAATACAAGAACAAATGCACTTATTTTAAGAAAAAATTACTTACTTAATTATTAAATTACTTACTTAATTATTACTTCTCAAAAAATCTTATTGCCAGTAAAAGT